AAAGTGAATACAGAACTGGAGAGCAGAGTTGTCCCTGGCTCCCTTGAGCACTTTCCTTAGCTAAAAGAGGCACACAGCAATCTTTTAGTCAATTGCTCTGAGTACGGTCAGTACCTCGCAGGCTTCAAAAAAGGTGACATTTTGCCAAGTCTGTACTTACAGAGACAAAATATCACCTATCATTCTAAGAATCTGATCTTGGTTTCTGAATTAAGCATCTTCAGAGCACAACAGCAAGTGGCTGAAAATGAGTGTGGGAGCAATCACTCTCATGTTTAGCCCTCTCTTCTCCCAGAGGTGACTGAAAAGTTTGTTGTTGTTGTTGCTATGGGCTCTCTGTCAGTAGAAGAAAAGCTAGACTGAACAACCAAAATGTCTTAAAACTGGGAGATGTAGTAACTGGTATGCCTTGTAATTGACTTCATGTATGATATTGCAGGCCTTAGAAAAATAAGGCTTGGAAGTATTGAACGGCTAGTTAAAGTAAAAAATAAAAAATCCTAACAGATATCTTAGGAAACACATGGGTTTACATATGGTCAGGATATCTTGGAAGGTGCACCGCAGCTGGAACTACATTATTGAGAGCAGCATATATTATAACCAATAATTCAGTTTTTCCAGAAAATGTCCCTTCCATCGGCAACCCATTGGATGCCTTTAACGAGTTATAGATAGAATTTTCTCCTAGACTACCTACTCAGACTTTTCTTTCTGTAGCATCAAGATTACATTTGGAGTAGAATCTCTAATGCAGGAAAAGAACCAACATGTTTTTGTGACTATCAATGCTGTTTGACAGCACAATCATAAAGTGCAAGAACAGGGGTGACACCAGAAGTCCACTGTTGCTAATTCCACTGGAGCTACATTTACAGAGATGCATTTGTAGGAAACTCTATGAACTTGGTTACTAGTAAATATGGCCTGATTTTGCAGTTGTAAGGATCTAGGTCAGAGGGAGCTTGTTTATTCAGCAGTACATTTGTGCATCGGTTAGACCTTTCCCACGACTTCCCTGTATCTCTTGTCCATCCCTTCAGCAAACTGCACACACCACTGTCATGCAAGATGCAAGCATGGAAAAGCTGAAAGGAAAAGATGTGCTAAAAGCATTCTTTCAAATTGTTGCTGTAATTTCTAGGTACTTATGTCCCAGTTGAGAGAACATGTACGCACATCCTCAGCTTTAAAGATGCAGTAACCCTTTGGAATTCATTGAGAATGCTCAATTACGTAATACCAGTAATGTACGTCAGATACGCATATTTCATCTGATTATTTTCTTTCTCTACTGAGTCTTCTTTACGTATTCACCAAAAAATAATGCTGACGGATGATGCAGTTGTTACTGTCACAAGGTTATTAGAAAGACAACTAGCCTTTCCATTATCCTATGTAATACGTTATTATTCTCTGCCTACATTTTCAATTAGCTGTAGCATTCTTAACCTCCCACTCCAGTACCATCACTGATTATTAAACATCCAACACAAAACAGTTGCAGTGATTACTGAGCAAGAGCTTTCCTTGAGGAAATCTCTTGGCTTGACCTTAACTCAGGCTTAAATGTAAGAATTCAGGGAGGACATAAAATAAAGGAATTAGTCAGATACATCAGTCAGTAAAGTTAGACATCATAGTGGTGGCAACTTCCCTAATCCTCCTTCAGCAAAAAATGAGAGATCAGCATCTTATTTTTATTGTTTTGTTATCATTGTTTATTAAGGTGAGCTGTCTTTATTATCTCTTATGTCTGTCATTTCCCATAAAGCCCCATAGGATGTGGGAGCTTTGAAACTGAACTTTTAATTCTCCAGAGCAGGCAATGGGAAAATTACACAATCTCACTGTTTCCAATTAGTTATGGACTTCTGTTTATTCCTTTACCACAAACATTTTTGCTTAGTTAGTAGTACAAATTGTTAATCATAAAAATGTGTTATCTCGTATGTGCTAAGAATAAAAAAAGAACTCACTCCTTGCCCTACAGAAATCAAGCAATCCACGTATTTCCATTTCCAGAACCTTTTCCAAAGGAGTTTTTTGAAGTATCCACAATAACCAGAGCATTACTGTAAACCTATTATCTGTCTTTAACATTTCCCAGTAGGTGAAATTCTCAAGGAGTGTTGCTGTGTGCAGCTCAGGTAGTAACAAATAGTGCATCCTACCTTTCCTTTAGAAATTCATCTCTCTACTCTTAATACCGGCATGGTACCACAGGATGGTAGCAGGTAAAAAAAATCTCCTAGTATGTACCTTGAGTACACATTAAAAGAATGATAAAAATAAATTAAGAATTGGTAATAAACATATTAAATTAAAAACAATGTCAGGGTTGGGGGAAAAATTATGATGCAGAGCTTGAAGAATTTAGTATGTGCAGTCTAGAGCTAAGACATAGTAATTGTCCCCAGAGAAATACAAAATTATTTAATGAGACAGTTGCTAGCTAAGAGTCACTGTTCTCATTAATAAGAAAAAAATTGATATCTGAAATAAGACAAATGTGCGGTAATGAATAAGAAAATTATACTAAGATTGTTAAAGCAGTGGAGGAACAGGTCATCTTTAAAGCAGGAGGTTGTAAGCTCTGCACACCTCTGCCTGCTGCTTATATTTCTTCTGTCGTACTCTCCATGTCTCTCCAGCAGTTCCTTGTCCTTTCTAAACATTAGTTGTTCACATTATTGTGTTCTCCAGTGCTCCTTCTATGCTGCCCCACAACTATGCAGCACATTTTCTTCTTGATGTATAACAGCAGCATCCAGCCTTCTATAAGTTTATGCCATTGATGTTATCACCACTCGGTTCTGACCCTAGGCAAATGCCTTTCCTATTGTCTGTCTATGAATCTACAACCCCAAGGACAGAGGCAAAGGCGTAGTTTTCATAAGTGATTATTAATTTAAGATGATTCTGCTAATGAGTGCCATCTAAACACTCATTTTTTGTACTTTCTAAAAATCATTATCTTACGGTCTTTGAAACTGGTGCCTAATATTTGGACCACTTACTTAATGTTTGCTAATCAGTTTTGAAAAATTTTAAATAATGTACTGTATAAACAGATAATATCACTATTTTTTTCAGGTATCTTCTTGGAAAAGCCTAACTGTAAGTTGTGACACAGTGCAGTGGGATGGGTTAACTGATGGAATAGACAATTTCTACTTGTGATTAATTTGCTGTGCTAACAATTTGTGCCATTTTTTGAAATATTGGCTCTCAGAAGTGCCAGGAATAATGGAATGTAACTTTTCCTTTACATTGCTCCCTCAATACATAAAGGCACAGATGCCTGCACTCTAAGGCAGCTGTCAACAAAGCTGCAGACTGGAGGTTCCAGCATCATTTACAGTACATCATTACAGACAGGAGGATGTCGCTGCTGGGGAATGAAGCTTGGGGAGAGAAGCAAAAGGAAAAGGCTGGGGGGCTAGGGAGAGAATCAAGGATCTTTCTTCACCATTCTTTTTCTACAGCTTTTGTGTATTTGGCCTGATTTGTTGTGGGAGAGCTGTTGGAGACTGTATTTGGCACAGGGTGGGATAGCTCAAAGCCAAAAGGATGGTGTTATTGCCAGTTTAAACCATGGCTTTTCGTTTCTTCTTTTTTTTCCTTCCTCTTTTCCCCTCCCTTCTTTTTCTTTGAAGAAAGGAAAAGAAAAGGGAAGAAAGGGATTTGCAATGAAAACCAGAGCACTGGGTTAATGATGGCCCTGCAGGCTTCAGCGGGCTGGAAAGATACACTTCCTCTACCATCTGGCCTGCAACTCTGCTGCTGCTGCTCTTGGTACATAACTTTGGAGTGAATAAGCAAACAAGTAAAACTTTTTAAGACACACCAATTATGCAACACTAGCTATTAATCTGTCATCTTACTCCCTTCTCTTTTCTCCAGCCACAATATTCCTTTCTGCAAGTCTTTTCCAGTTCTCAGGTCTACCTGTGATACATACTGCCTTGTTAGGTTTCCAGACCCAACTCCAATTCCACTTTCCTGTCCCTTACACTGCTGCTCGGTATGGACAAGGGCCAGAGCCAGTACATTCATATTTCTGTTGTCATCACTTGTGCTTCTGTGATTTGGAGTCTCATGCAAAGATTCTATCTCTATGCAAAGATTCCCTTCCAATGTGGTTGGAGTCGAGAAGGCCAAAGAGAAGTTTTAGATGAGGTGAGTTTGCTCAAGACCTACTTTAAAAACTGTCACAAAGGGCTGGGTGCATTTCTGTGTAGGAGTATGTTACGTTTTATTACTGATGGTTTTCCTCAAATGTGATGAGAAGTGTTATATTGAGGTCACATCTTCAAGTTGTGTGAACCATCACTGCACAACTCAAGTCAGAAAAGTCCAGAACTTAAAAAAGACGAAGATTTTATCTCTGGAAAGTCTTCAAGATGATGCTACAGTTGATTTTTGAGGCTGAAAACTTCATAATATAGACTATAGAATCATAGAATCATTTAGATTGGAAAAGACTTCTAACATCAACTGGTCCAACCATCAAACCACCATCACCACATCATTAAACCGTGTCCCAACCTCCCAGGCTTTCTTGTGAGCAGTGCTTATCTGGTTCCATTATGACAAAAGAGAGAAAAGGAAAGTCAATCAATCACAGCAAAAACCTCAGATGAGTTAAAGATAAGTAATCACTCAACCTAGTACAATTTCAAAGAACAAGTTCAGTAAGAATCAGATGTATTAACTTACAGTTAGACCCATTAATGTCAGAAACATTTTTTACACAATTCATTTCTTTTACCCACAGATAAAATATCCTTAAACAGACCAGAAAGCAGGAAGAAACTGCAAGTAATCTAGAGCAATTTATTTTATTTGAAATTATTTGACATTCACAGGAAAAATATATATACTTCTGGTTACATTTAAAATCACAAATCATAGATTTGATTGAGTTGGAAGGGACCCTTAAAAGCCATCTGGTCCAACTCCCCTGCAATGAACAGCGACAGCTACTGATAGATCAGGATGCTCAGAGCCCCTCCAGCCTGAACTTGAGTGTTTCCAGGGATGGGGTGTCCACCAGCTCTCTGGGCAACCTATTTATTACATGGTTTCTTGAAAGGACAAAACTATGCAACAAGTCTATATTGTCCCTTTGGTTTCTGACTGGCTTCTTGCTTTGCACCTGTAGAACTGTAAACCATAAAGTACAACTGAACAAATGCTTCACTTCTCACTGCCTGAATGTATCCACAAGGCAGGTACCTACCCAAGTGACGCAACTACTGTTGGCATTAAATTTTCACAGCTTTAATGATATAAAACAACGTTATCGATTTAGAAAACTCAGAAGATTGCTTACTGCTACTATCAGGAGTTCTGGTGGTTAAGCACCTAAGTGTTCAGATATCCATCTGAACACGGGGCTGGGCATCTGCAAATACATTCTCTTCCAAGATTCCTGGTATTTGTTGTATGCAGTCAAGCTGGAAATGCTACCAGGATGGCCTTTCTTTCGTGGTGTTCTATCATTTCTGATCTCTGTTGCAGCTGGGAGCAGGAAGTGCAGATGTGAGCAAAGATGAAAAACTGTAGCTGAAAAATAAAGTCAATGGAACTTCTTGTACATCAAAGCCAAAATAGAGCAGTTTTGGCTTAAGGCGTAATTCACTCAGTAGTAGGCTGTCACCTTCTACATTTGTATTTCAGTTTATCCCTCTCTAGCAGAAACAATATTGCTTTAAAAAGCAATTGCACAACATCTGCCAATATGAAAAACCTAAAATCCCACAAGAAACTATATAAATGAGGAAAAAAAAAATCAATTTTGACACCATACATCACTGTATGAACGTGTTAATGTTGTGCTACTGTACTGTGTATCATTATTTGTTTTCTTTGTTCTTAACCCCTTTGTTCCGAGTCAGGATATCCTGACACTGAGGACACTTCAAAATAACAGTACAACAACAATGCTATAATTCTTTGGAAGCACTTCATCATTTTCAAGACAGAGCCACCTGAGAGCGTAGTGGGGACTTACAGACTGCAGTCAGAATGAGGATAGCTTCCATAAAATGCTGGGGCAGCCAGTTTGAGGTGGGAGCATTCAGACAAGCGTGGTGCAGGGTCCCAGGACAGAGGAAACACTGTGCTGATTTTGCTGCCATCGCCATGAAGAGGAAGTGCATAATTTGCTATATGAAGGGTATTCGGTAATTTTAAGCCCATTTTCTGGGACTCTTTTCTTCTCTGTTCGCAAGTTTGTTGTTCCACCTGGAGAAAAGAAAGAACATCAATTGTAACCCAGAGAAAACAAATATATGCATGGTAGGAAGTATTATAATGCCAACTAAGATCCCATTAAGTATGTTTTCTGTGATCTTACCGAAGCCTGAGTGCTGGTACAGAAGACCACCCTCGGGTCCCGTGCTGTAGGACTGGTCTATAAACTACTGGCTCAAGGCCATCAGCAACAGCCTGTTAAAAGTGAAACAAAAGTTCTGGGCAGAGTGAAGCACCTTCGGCTCCTGGACGAGCACTTGCCGAGACACCTGTGCCTTGGCTATGGGATGAATAATTTTCTCACTGGAGCTTGAGTGATCACTGCCACCAGGTAGTGTTCTAACGTGAACCCATTCAGGTGGAGCTTGCAGCCAAAATAACGGGGCAAATCCCCCTTCCCCAAAACCCCACTTTCAGCAGCACGTTACCCTCTGGCCTGCCGAGTTCCTTTCGTTTTTTTCCCCCGGGTCGGAGCCTCGCTAACCCGCGCCCCTCCACCGGAGCTACCGCTGGGCTCAGCTCAGTGGCCGAGCCCCCACACTCCTATAGCACCGCAGCGAGTCCTGCCGGGGGGAGGTGGCGCGAGGGGGAAACCTCTCGGCAGCACCAGCCCCCGAGCACGCCAGGGACACTGCCCGCCCAGCCCCGGGCTCTCCCCCCCCACCCCTACTGCCGGCAGCCGCGGCCGGAGCCCCCGCCTCCGCCCAGGGGCTCGGCGCTGCGCGGCGCCGGCATGAGCCGCGGCTCCGCGCCTGCCCGCCTGCCGCTTCGCCCCGGCTGCCGGCGCCTGGCGGCGGGCTGAG